AACAAACCGCCAACGCATTCGTCAAAGACATCTGGCGTTTTCACGGACTTCCTAGGAGCATCGTCTCAGACAGGGGAACGCAGTTCGTGTCAGCATTCTGGGCGGCAATTACGGACAGACTGGGGATTCGTAGAAGACTCTCCACCTCATTCCACCCCCAAACCGACGGCCAAACAGAGCGGACCAACCAACACATGGAAGGTTATATTCTGGCATATACGGCAGGAACAGGCAAGAAATGGAAGGACCTGTTACCTATCTGCGAATACGCCTACAACAATGCGAAGCATACGTCGACTGGGCAATCAGCGTTCTACTGCAACTATGGCTTCCACCCCCGAACGGACTGGCCTACGGATGCAGAGATCGAACGATTAGATGCCAACGGGAACAACTACTTGGACGAGATCATCACGGCTCACGAGTTAGCGAGAGATACGCTACAGAAAACTTTCGACAGGATGGCGTCAAAGCCAGGACCAGCAGCACAGCGATTCACTATCGGTCAGAGAGTCTTGCTGGATACTCGGAACCTTGGAGGATACTCCAAGTGGTCAGACAAGTTTACAGGGCCGTTAACAGTGTCGGCAGTGGTGGGCAATCGGGCTTACCGCCTTGAGCTTCCGGTAGAATGGAAGGTTCATAACGTTTTTCACGAAATGTTGCTGCGACCCTATCGTGAGGACCCGGATCCCACCAGAAAACAGAATACACGAAAGCGACTGGTAACACCCGAACCACAGGAGGCATTGGCAGATGAGAACTTCCAGCCAACCTCGAACATACGACCCCATACGCGAAGTCAAGGCCCAGCGATCGATAATGACCGGGCTCATAAACGACAACGGAACAGGCGAGACTGAGCTCGATACCTTTCCCTACTCTATGACTTTTCCCACAGGGTTTTTATCATAGAAAGGGTTTTAACGGTCGAGGGCGACGTCTAGGAAGGGGGAGTAGTGTTACAGGAACTACGGGACACTGTTCTAGAGGCTTAGGACAGTGAGGAATACGGGTGACGGGTCGTGATGCGAGGACGGTCGGGTAACGAAAGGACAAGCATAGAAAGGTATCGGGTAGTGTGGGAGCACGCGGTGTTACCACACTAGTGTTATACTATTATGACGGCACGCTTACTATTGGGTGTCTCACCCGGAATAGAATAGGAAGCGGGGCTTACGGCTGTAGGCTGTTCTACTTAGGGAAGTAGGTCTAGGATAATAGTATGGTACAGCCCGATGACTGGCAATTGCAAGGTTCATGGTTACGTGTCGGAATTAGAATGGAGGACGGAACTATGCGGGGGCGCTTTTCTATCTGGGTTATCTTCGGGAGCATTATCTTATTCTATTATCGTTGTGTCAGTTAGTATTAGAAAGCGGGCCTTGGCATAGGTTCCAACATGTATAAATAGGGCTTGATTCTCCGAAGACTTGAGGGTATCATCAACCTTCAAGTCAAGGGAATCCGGTTTACAATATCATCAGTTTAAACGCTACAGAATTATCGCTTAGCACTGGCTATTTCCCCAAACAGAAAGGTACCCGGAAAGGTGTCGGGGAAATGCATCAAATGGGTGGGGAAACGAACCAAATCTTTACTTCCAATTAACGTCCCTAGAAACGACTCAAATGACTTGTTTCCTAAAACCAGTTTGGTAGGAAATGAATCAATTGATTCGTTCCAGAGCGGTAGAGACGCTCAACTTAACGCCGAGTAGGGATATAGATACGACTCTTTACTTCTGAAGTCTCGTTGTTGCTCGATAACCCCTGACCGCTTGATAGCTGATTATCGGACAAGACGCGCGCGGGAGTAAGACATAGAGGGCAGTAAACTACATGTATACCCCCCTTCCCCCCTCTCCCCAAAATAGAGCCCGGTCCATCTGTCCAGAGTCTCCGCAGAACCCAGACCGAGCCTCGCCCATCATATCTACGGATATACGGATCAGCGCATACAATCCATTCCTACATCACATGCTGGCCTTGAGCCGGTTGGGGTATTCCACATCCTGCTGAACGAAGCGACTAGTAGGCATAAAGGGTGAAGCCCTGTACTTGTACTGAAGATTGTAGTACGCCGCCATAGACTACGGTCTGCATGCGAGTATGAATTAAACAAAAAAAAAAAAAATTCCTACGTCGCAATTGATCCCGCCGCCACTCTCACCACCTGCGCCGCACCCCCAAATCGGCAGATCCCAATTTTACACCCCACCCCGGCAGTCTCAGCCGCGGGAACTGCTATCCTGGTAAAGTTTATTATGCAGGTAAGATTTGCAAGGATCTCAGGCCCGAATGGAAATCGTGGAGTCAACGGTGGCGTGTTGCAATGGATGCTCCGCGCGGGTGTTACCGTGTTGGCGAGGCCGCGGCGGCTGTCTGAAGATGTCGTTCACTGCGTCGACCGATAAGCGGATATATCTACTATACTACAGTCGCAACTCGATATGCCGGATTGCCAAGATTCGAGGGATTTCGTTCGGGATAGCAAAAAATCCGGGATAGCAAATTGATTTTGCAGTAATAAAATTAAAACCTCAGAAGATTTCGTACGGGACAGCAAGGGATCCGGCGTATTGAGATCCGGCATATCAAGTTGCAACTGTATGCAAGAATATGGTCTGAAAATATCTCGCTAAATAGAGAGTGGTGTTGTTACAAAAAAAAGCGATGCTGTGGCCATATACCCTTCCCGGGGCTATGGGCTCAATTCTCGAAAGGACTTGTTGGGAAATCAACTTCGGATATATTGGGCTCTATTCCTCGGTGCATAATATGCACCACACCGCAACATCCATGATCTACTCATTGTCATGAGAACTCAGCTACTCGGTGTACATCGCAAGACGAGCTGTCTACACTAGACTACACTCGCCCACACAATCATCAGTGGCCCGGAAGTAAGACTTAAAGGGGAGGGCCGAGGGTGAGAGGAGCTACTTAGGGAAACTTAACCCCGCCATGATAATCTACCACGACGTACAGCATGACTCACAGCTAGCCATCCTCTTGTATATACAGCCACTCTGCAAAAGTGTTCGTGATTCCGATTTCTGAGTGAGACATTTCTCCATATGTAACCGCGGTGGGCCATCAAGAACCCCCAAGAGAAGACCTTCCCAGTGACCAATGGCGCCCAAGTTAATGAAGAATAAGATCAATGACCTATCCTCTTATTATATATAATCACGAACTATATTATATATTTCTCGTTGTTTTGAATCTCAACTTTAATAACATCAGTATTACGGGTGCGCCACACTGCGCACCGACATTAAAACTATATCACGAACACTTTTGCTGAGTGGCTGTATATAGAAATCTCTTTGAAAGAACCGGTTGGCTCATGATTCTCATACTTCCAGCCCCTATCCGTCAAGTCTACGATTGCGTGTCGGGGGGTTAGGATTTATCTTCACTACCGATATCATAATTCCGGCTCCGATGCCTACAAGCATATCATGCTTTGCGGGTTTGTTGGGAGACTACACACGTGCGTATACAGCGATAGGAATGATCTATAGAAAAAACAGTTATATGGTGCACAGATATTTCGCCATACAATTTCACCCCCCCCTGTTTTTCCATAGATCATTCCGGTCGCTGTACATGCATACAAGAGGGGTAAAATGGGTACCAGACCAAGTACCGCAAGTCCTCGAGATTATCAGAGTCATCTGGTACATGGACTCGTGGTTTTAATTTAGATTCTGCTATATGTAGAGTTAGAGGGCATGGTTGGCTCTAATCGATTTCTTTCATGGTAATAGTTATGCTATCAACTTGGTATAAGTACCGCCAAAACTCGAAAAATTGGCTATCTCCGTCCAGGGACTACCGCTTGAATAATTGGTTGGATGGCATCGATCTACATCAGAAGTATCCCATACAAGTAATTCTGATCTAGCCAATTTTTCGAGTTATGGCGGTAGGCAATATGGAATATAGGGTTTTAATTAGCCAAGTTTTGGATGTTTTTCTTTTTCTTTCTAGAACGTCGATACTGCGGTATTCAAAAGGGGGGAGGGGGGGTGGTGAGCCAGCTGGAAAAAAAAGAAAGAAAAAAAGGTTATGTTGGATGATTGAGGTTTCCTTTTTGTTGATTAGAGCGATTTGGCCAATCCCCGTCTTTCAATTTCAAATCCCGAGCTCAAATTTGAGGTCTTGGCGGGACTTTCACACCAAAAATTATCGCCAAGAACTAAATATTTAGGTTCAGAAGTCGTTGGCCAAATCGCTCTATTAAGATATCTTTTTGGCGTTTTTGTGATAGGTGATAGATCTGTTTTTGGCCCATTAATCTTGATATGCTTACCTCGACCTCTCTAGCATGCAATATAGCGATAGCAGTACAACTCATAGAACACTTCCCTAGCAGGGTAGCGGTTGACACTACACTTCTATGTCCCCAGTTTTTATTTTATCCTCACCCAAATCGACTTGCATCGTGAAATTTCCTAGATAAGTACACACTCGGAGAGGACATCCCTTCGTCTGGTGGGTAGTTTTTCACGCCCTACCGGACTCTTTGCTAAAGGGCGATCAACGGCGCCCTAACATTCTTGGGCTTAAGATTGGTCCTAAATGGATAGCGAACATACGATAAATATTCAGTGTGTTAACTGCGCATGCAGATTACTTCCCCAATAGATATTCTGCCACACAAAACCGCAGGTGCTGAAAACTGACAAAGGGATGTTGGTAAATAAATATACGCACCAAACGCGTCCAATCCCTGGTTGGCCGCGCGCGCGCGATCCTCTGTGCGTACATATTATTAGTAGATCAGTAATATTACTCTATATTCAGCCGCTTCTTGGCATGCAGTAATATTATCATTAGCGAGACTTGGCACTTTGACAAACGACAACGACAAACGACCTCACCTCACCTCACCTCACCTTACCTTACCTCACTACAACCTCACGTCCTCAGCTCGGATTATCGCCATGAAGCTCCAACGACTCCTCGGACCCTCTCGGCAGTGGGGCGCGAATGTTGTTCCGCTTATGCTTAAATAGCGCCCCGCCTCCCCTCCAAGCCCTCAACACGATACTTCACCCAGCCAGCTCCCTCCCCTCCTCAGGCTCAGGCAGCGATAGCCCCTCACCCACAACTGCATGTCCATCGCCCTCAAACCGCAAGCTCCCCTCCCCCCTTCTATCCCTCACAGCTAACCCCCCCGACAGACCCCACCCCACCCCCCCTCCGCCATGTCCTCCCCCACCCCGCCCTCCCGCCAAAGTACCCCCACCCCTTCTTCACAGACCATCCGCACCCGCACGACTGGAGCCTTACCGCCTTCCTCGCCCACACACACCCTATAACCCACCACCCGCAGCGCATCCTCTCCACCTACCTCAAGTCTCTCACTGCGCTCACATGCACCCAGGAGCCGGCGCAGCGCAGGCGCGCGGAGGAGCTGTTGAAGAGTTATCGCGCAAAGGTATGTACCCCCCCCCCCCTCTTTCCCCCCTCCCCCGCATCTTGGTGGTTACCCAGCTAACTAACTTGGGTCAGGGGCTGGGCTCTGACCGCATCGCGGCGCAAGAGTGGATCGCCCGCCGTCACGGAGAGATTGCGCTGTGGCGTGCGAGCGTGCCAGCGCCGCTGACGGATATAGAGCGGGAGGCGCGGCAGCGCGGGCGGCAGGCGTGGAAAGCAGGGAGGAGGGCGGAGAGGAAGGCGTGGACGGATGCGGAGCGGGAAGAGCATCGGCTTGGGAGGTGGATGGCGGCGCCGGGGTATCGGTATTCGAGGGCTGCGTGGGGGAATGTCATGTGGGCGATGGGGAGGGGGGGGAGGAGACGGGAACGAAGGTGGAGGGAGAGGGAGGCGGGGAGGGTGGTGGGGGAGGTGGCGAGGAGGGCCGGGTTGGTGGATGGGGGGCAGGCAAGGGGGTGAGGCGCTGATTTGGCCGCTCTGTGCTGTGCGCGGGAGGGTGGAACCCACAGTACTGGTTGGTGTGCGCTGGGGAGGTCGGAGGACGGTTTATTGGATGGCGTCGAAAATGTATTGTTAATCTAATCTAACCTCATATCATCAAACACAAGTTTCGCAAGTTGAAAGAAACGCGCCCCAATACCCGCCCGTACACCCTACAAAATAAAGCATCGGAGGAGGGCCCAACAGCCGTTTGCTGTCCGTGGCGTGTTCCGCGGGAGAAGCTCAATGTGACTGCTCATCTGGCTAGCTCATTCCTTCCCTTGATCGATCGATCCCGCGCCGCGTGCGCACATAGTCCCGTGATATCAAGGTGCCGTTCAACCAATCACCTTATGGTGAAATAACCCCCCCCCCTTCAAGTTTTGGACGGTATATGTACAAGGCTCTGGCATTAAGTGGGTGAACTAAATGGGATGTTGACTGGTGTGGATCCGTTCACTCAATCCCAGAGCCTTGTACATACTAGATTGATTGCAGCGCGGACAGGTAGGTGAAAATGAGCAACACTTGGTATCCCATATATAGACCGATGAATTTTGTTTATAGAAAATTGCGCACTGTTTAAATCAAACGTCCCGAGGATAATTTATACTTGGAAAGCGGCATTTAACAACCGTTTCCAACAGAAAGATACTCCGGTTGAGTTTTAAACCCAAATCTCCCTACGAATTTTATAGTTTTTGATGTTTTTGGTGAGGGAACGCGCCACAAAAGCTTGGATATATGTGAAATATTGCGGGTACAGTCGTTCACTAGGTTTACAGACATTGGATATTGACGGGCAGATACCCCTGGACCGATAATAGAGGACATTTGTTTTTTTACCAATGATAAAGGCATAACTGGGCTTTGCTATCTCGCTTTTGGCTTGTGTGTCGACACTTAGTCTCCGTCATGTCATCACACCGTGAATGATAGTACGTGTTTGTGTGGAAGGAATGAGGGGTGCGTGTGCATGTGGGTATATGTCCCACTGCCGTGCAACTCGCGCAATCCAATCTCTAAAAGAAAGCAATAAGCTTCACTGCTTTTGGAGCGATATCGGTCAGTAATCATAGCATTCGTATTAATCAGCCCCATACATTTTATATTGTGAACGTAAAAATCCCGGTCTTATCAATTCCAGCCATCTCCATTTGTTAGCGTTCCTTGGTAAGAACTAATTATACCTTGTGTCGAAGATATTATTTTATTTCCCTAAATATTATTACTATAGTGTTCGTCCGTCCGGAGGCTGAAGAGAAGAGGAGGTTAGATTTTGGTGCGGAGCTACCCCAAAACGACGGATTGCACTTTTATAGATATGAGCGGGTAACAAAAGATTATACTAGGCGAATGAAGCGAAGTGATATATTAGATTAAAAGGATAAATCGACCAGTCTCGCTCATAGATCTGTACCGCTTCTTGGTACCAGGTAGCTACTAGCTGTTTTCTTTCTCGTCTTTTTTTTTTTTTTTTTGACTACCTATGTATTACACACCAGTTTCGGTTTCGTTTGATTACCCAAAATGTTTGCACCATCCCGTTTCTGGCCTAATCGATATGTCCAAACCCAATTTACTGGGCCAAATGCTCCAGGACGAAACCCCAGGCGGTCACATCCGGGTTTTTCGGATTATTTCCCGGAATGTTATTTCGCCAGTCCCCACCCCCCTATTGAATACAAATACTCAACCATGTCAAAACATACCCAAAACTAGAAAAAACTGCAGTGTCTGGTGACGAGACTACGAATAAGCGTACGGTGCCAACCCCCCCCCCCCAAAAAAAAGAAAAAAAGAAAAAAAGAAAAAAAGAGAAAAAACCCTGGAACCACTCACGCGCTAATTAAAAGGTCGGAATTCTGTGTGGAGATTCCGCTGCCGCGACTCCCGAACCTTAATTAACGAGTGAAGGCATGTGCCTAGAGTATATCCTCTTACCCTGCCCTTTCCACGCTGTGTCGACCTTGTGTAACAAGAGGAGGACAAGTGGTAGCCCGGACGAGGTCAGGTCATAAGGACACAGTGGTCTCAGCTCGCTGGCTTCTGTCTTTGTCTACTCATTTCTACCTCCCCCTTAGATCCCTTTCCTTCCCCACCACCAACCGGAACACGGATACTAAGTATGCCTGCCACCCAATCTCATAGCTCTCCGAGCACAGATTGTCACTCGCCAACGCCTCCAAGCACAAACTGTCACTCGGCTATGCCTTACTCTTAGTTGATGAGTAATCAATTGGCCAACCGCATTGACCACGTGATATCACTCACTAACAACTTAGAGCATAGACTGTCACTCGTCCACAACTTCACATGTGAGGATAACTATGAATTACGGTAGAAAGACGAGAGAGTAAGCAGTAATGTACATATATATAACCCTTTCTCTTCCACCTATGGCTCTCTGAGCACATACTGTCACTCGCTAACAGCTACAATCCAAATTCGAACACCAACCTGAAAACTCAAAACCCAATCGATCCAAGCACCACCTATCTTCACACCACATCCAAACCGACAAGTGATTCCCGTCCCCTTAGCATCTCCAACACAACTGGGCAGGGACCGGGGCGGCTGGTCTTTATACACCAAGCAACTCTTCGCACAGTTAGCCATGGCCATGCTCTGAACGAGCCATGGACGCACCCTGTCGATAGACGTCCGTAGATGGGTATTCCAACCATTGACAATCGTGCATATATAGAGCATTTTAGTTTCCAGAAGGGCGAGCGCGTCTATAGTGCTGAGAAAACGCGTAGAGAGAGAAAACTCGTCATAGGATATCACCCGGTTTCTATAAAAATCCCACCGAGTTTTCCCGGTTATTTATCTATTAGTCCAGCAATGTACAATGTGAGGTGGCGCAAGATAAAGGCCGGGACTTTGAGATCTTGGATTACGGCAGGGTATATTGCTGCTAAGCAAAATGGACTGCACTTCTCCACATCATTAGCGAGCTAGGTCGTCTAGAGGGCTATCAATATCTTATATCCAATTCGTCTAGTCGACCACATTAAATTCTGGAATAGCACCCGGAGTGTTCGCTAGAGAATCCGAGTGTTCGATCTAGAAACCACGGTTTTTGGTAGGAGATAGGGTCTATCAATCACCCCCGCGAGGTTTGTGGTATAGAATTCCGTCTTTTTTTTTTCTTTCTCCTTTTTTTTTTGCATAGAATGTTGAGAACTAATATTTGATTAATGGACGTTAGTGAAAGTGCTCTTGGGTAAGCACACCGGATCACCGTACTGGTATAGAAAATAGTCAACCACGTGATAAAAAGCGATAGTTGCGTGTGGTGTTCGTGTACAACCTTATATACTTGCTTTGCTTCTAAACACAGAAAAACACTTAAATACTAAACGGTATTAGTCGGTAAGGAACTGTGGTGCGTGGGAGACGGTTTATGACCGTACCCGTTAGTAACTTTATGACCCTGACCCGGTAGCTGACCCTGAACCCTACCACATACGGGTCTGGGAACGGGATTACCGTCAGACATGTCTCCGATGTTTACCAGTACTCGTATTTTACCTAGAATATTATACCACCTATCCTAGCTAGTGCCAAAGTTTTAAGTTTTCTGTTCTAACCTCAGGCGCTTACAGACCCAGATATATATACTGGATTAACCAGAAGCTGGTCGCCACTCCATCAACATCAACGAACCTCAACCCAGCGACAACTAAATCATGATATATTCTTTATTCTACAATGGGATTTATAGAAAAGCATTTACAAGACTCCGCTCCCTTATTTAATAGTTTATCTAGTTACTAATTGAGATATTGATAGGGCAATTGAGTGTGACCTGCTGGCAGATCCAGCTCCGCTACCTTCAACGGAATCGCTCCTAGAGATTTCGCTCGGCGTGGACGCATTTCTCGGCGCGGACACATTGGTAGATGATACAGTACCTGCCCGGTTGGATGAATGTGCGGATGGGCTTAGGTTAGGAAAGATTGGCGGGTAGAGTATGATGTTGGGGTTGCTTGCGGAAACTCTTACGCCAGGAGGTAGCGGAAGCACATTTTTCGGCACTTCAAGGGCTTCTGATCTTTGATTAAGAGTAGGAATGATGAAGGTAACTGAAGGTAGGGGCTTTGATTCAGATTGCTCTTTGGTGTTTGGGATCCGCTAATGTGACTTGTAGGAGTTGGGTAGAAGGAACTCGGTGTCATACTACTTTAAGACGCTTGAGGGATAGCGGGTGATAGGATTGAAGGAGGAGAATTGTACTGCATGTCTGCAGACCTGGTAGGAGTTCCTGGTTTTGATGGGACTGAGTTTGGTTTTCTTCTTTTGGCGGGTGGCTTGCTAATCTTCTGCTCTGCTTTACACTTGAGCTCTTGAGCTTCCTCCGCTGTCAGTACTCTAGTTCTTGACAAGATTCTTTGATCCTAGGTATACTTCTACTTATTTGCATTCCTGAGTTGTGTATTCACATCGATTAAGACTGGCTTCGATGTATACTCCATCTCTGCAAATTTAGCAATCTTTCTAATGCGCTCCAAATAGAATCTGATAGCTCATGTATCACCGGGTCATCCAATATGGATTTCAGTTGCGATTCCAAATCTTTTGGTTTCCTGTGAGTTGTAGGAAGTGTTGTGGGTTTTGCGAGAGTGGTAGGAGATTCCGGAGGCGGTGTTTTTTCTTCGAAATTTGGAAGTTTATTGAGTACTTTTGAAGGACATAACGGCACGATCCCGCACTCAACAAAGGAGTTCTTGATTGATCTTTGCACTAATGTTTTCAACCTCGCTGCATGATAGAGCTGTAAAAAAAGGTTTTCCGATACCTGTAATACCCATTCGAACTCTGTCATCAACCTCTTTCCCGTAGTAGTAATTAAATGGTGAAAATAGGCCGATATCTAAAGGTTGCAAAAGATGTGTCGAATGCGGTGGTAAACAGCAATTATTCTGTTCTTCAAACAATACTCGATGAATCCCCACTGAACATGAGATTCGTGA